TTTATTGTGCCGGTTTATTCCTCCTGGAACATGCCTGAACATGTCTCAGACTGTTTACTTCATTGTCTTGATTGTAACAGTCAATGTCTCTGGTATCAGTCAGTTGACAGTAGATTAGAAGATGACTAGAAGCACACTGAAAGTAGTATTTTCTGAATAATAACAGAGTGGTGGAATAATAGAGAACGTGTATTTGTGCGGAAAAGCATGCCTCGCCTAGATTGTGACATTTTAGACTGATTAAGGTTTTTTTTGTCAAACTGCAATGTTTGCTTCCATCGCGGATAAAATACCACAATGGCAGTGTTCCTTAAACTTTGGGTTGTGACCTTGATTTAGCTCTGTGGACTGTGCCTGTTGGCAGCCGGCTACCTTCGTTTTCAGGCAAGAACACGTGATTTCATTTGTTTTATTGTTGCCCTTTCATTCCAGAAAGTTCTCAAATATCTTACTAAAGCTAAATGTTTGATCAGATGTGGTGCAGACTAAATTTGCACGGAACATTTCTCCATGTTATTTCGCCATATTAAAACAAGACTTGCTGCATGAAGGTGTTTCAACAGAGAGGCGTTTTGTCAGTTCCTCTGAAAATCGGGACTATTCAGTGTTTTACATCATCAACAACAGTCATTGTGAAACTTCTTATTAATCTCTTAGAAACCCTATTCAGGAAGTAAACATGGCCCGCGTGCATGTGTGTGTTGGGAGGTGAGGGTTCAACAAGACGGGAGTGATTCTGGTTACACCGTGTGTGCGTTGGTTTCATTTTTCGGTTGCGAAACATGCCTTTTTTTAAGTCCCCTGACCAGCAAATGAGGCTCATGGTGAAAGTAGAGAGCTCATTTCCTTTAATACGACGATGATTGCATTTTCTCATTAGCCATGGTGCTCAAAGTTATGTAATGTATTAATGATTTATTAGTATTATTCTAACTCTGCTTCTTTATTATAAATGGCCAGTGCTAATTTTGTCTCATCTCCTGGATGTGTGCTCTGTCTCTACAGGTAACACATTACAAACAGTACCCCCCCAACACAAGTAAAGTGTACTCCTACTTCGAGTGCCGCGAGAAGAGGACAGATCCTGGCAAAAGCAGAAAAGTCAAATATGACAAAACCGTCTTCTACGGCCTACAGTACATCCTCTACAAATACCTAAAAGGTAAGTCCCGACTCAGCTTAAAAGGGCCAATGTTTCGTATTCTGTAGTCAATTGAATGAAAGTGCCCTTTAGCACGACACTGAAGTGCCCTCCTCTAACCCAGTAGGAGCTTCTCAGTGACTGCCAGCAGTAATGACATTGCAGCTTTTCAGGTTTGGCCTTATGAAGCCACCACCCCTGTTAATGATTCTCCGGGTTTGTTTGTGTAAATACAAATGTGTTTCCAGCCAACTCAACAAATTAAAGCATAACTTTCCAATACTTGGATTACATAACCCAGGCATAGACTTATTTCTACTTTCATTTATGGAAGTCAGCTGTGCACGTAACGTTTTCACTCTCATTCTGTGGGAGCTTAACAATACACTATTCTGCTGTTGTCCAGTTTGCAATCAGGGCACATACCAAAAGCCTTTTGTGATGCGTTATTTGTCCCTGTGCGAGCATTTTATCTCTCACCCCCCTCCAGGACAAGGTCACAGTAGTACAGGGTCAGCCGCAGAACAGCATGCAGCTACTCAAGATTCAGTGCATTGCTCAATGACACTTCAGCAGGGCAGGTGCTTGCTGTTGTGGCCCGCAGCAACAGTGCTTTTTATTCAAAAAGCAACAAGGTTACAACGTGCTTCACGTTGATTAGACTGTACAGAGCATAACAGAAAGCCAGCAGGTTAAGAAGAACAAAAAAGTGAGGGAGAAAAGACTGAAACGAGGCAAAGTATAATGCACACAATGTAGTCTATGCTCTAATTAGCTCAAGTTTGTAAAGGTGGATGTTTAAGTTTGTTAGAGGGATCCTGAGGGGCATGAGAGAGAGCAAGAGGGACTGGGGAAAAAAGAAGGAGTCGAGAGAAAGAAAGAATGCATCGCCCTCCTGTCTCTTAAGAGGATTTCATGGTGCGGTAGCAGAGGTGCGGGGAGACAGAGAACCGGGGAGAACAGAGAGAGGGAAGACAAAAGCACAGCTGCTGTTTCACCGTCTGCGGGAGAAAGGCCAGCTGTCTGCGCAGAGCGTCCCTCAGAGCTCAATGATTAGGCCAACTATTGGAGATGCACCCCTGATCCTCCCAACCTACGAAACCAAACGTGTGTACCGTGATTCTTCTACACTGAGTCACAGAGTGAATTTTAATCCTCTCCAACTTTTCTCAAGGGAGTGGTTCAGCAGAACGAACCGCTGTAAAAGTGAAAGTGTCACCCACCATATTAGGTATTAAAGGAACAATCTCACTATTAGGAGTTTTCATTCGAGGGAAACTACTACTACTACAAGGACTGAGCCAAGGTTGAGCCAGGCTAGCTGTTACCACCAGTCTTTGTGCCAAGCCACGCTAACTGGCTGCTGGTAGTAGCCTCATATTTACTGCACAGACATGAGAGCGCTTTCAATCATCTCATCTAACTCTCTAAAAAAAAGCAGCATGCCATTTTAGGTTTTGAAATATGAAGGTATCCTCTTGCATTTGTACACATGTTTTCGTGTTGCTGTGTAACAGTTTCTATGGTCTCAAACTTGACATTAGACGAGGAAGTAGTTTTTGAACAAAGAGCCCTTGTCAGCGCGCACGGGACGCTTCTAATTTTCTTCCGACCAGTGGACAGTAGGGTGGCATTCAGTGGCCTTTCTCCCTTATCACTGCGTGTTACTACCTTTCTTCTCCCTTCCCCTTCTTTCCTCTCCTCCTCCTCCTCCTCCTCCTCCTCCTCCTTTCTCCTCTCTAGGAAAGGTAGTGACTCCAGAGAAGATCCAGGAGGCAAAGGAGGTATACAGAGAACACTTCCAGGATGACGTTTTCAACGAGAAAGGGTGGACTTACATTTTGGAGGTAAGACACTGCTAAAAGGTGATGCTTTGCATTTGTACAAAAGTATTTTATGCGTATATGTGAGTAGATTCGATGGGGGTTTATAGACTATATGAAAGGAATGGGTCTGAGGAAAAAGCTGGAAATTGGAGTTGCAGGTGTACACAGGTGTCAGTATATGCTAATGTTTGCAAATGAAACATTCTGAAGGTGATGTCTCTAATATCAAGAGAGGCTAGAGGATGTAAACACATGTAGGACACACAGTGAGTTCCTGATAAACACACAAAACGAACATATAGCGACAAGCAATCTGATTTCATTTGATTCTAGGTTAATTTTGAGGTGCTCAAAAAAACCTCCCTCCATTCTGACGTAGCAAGCGGGGCCATATTGTGTAATGAAAGCCAAAATGCTAAAATAACAAAAAATCGAAACAATATTTGGTGTCACAGTTTCCCAATGGAGGACAAGAAGGGTTAACTAGCCAGTTTCTTGAGTCCGATTCAGCAACTAGAAATCAATCACAGTCAGTTTATATATCCGAGAAAATGTGCATAAAATGTTTCTGGTTCTTTTCCGGTTCTGTTTCAGCACCTTGGAGAGAGCACAGCACTCTGTACTGACAAAGTATTTTCTCGAGCGAGCAGAAGTGTTGATAAATCCTTATTTATTTTCTCTTTGTCATCTCTTACCACGTTGCTTAATCAGCTCTCAATCTGGCAGCTTTGTTTTTTTTTTTTTGCAAATCACTCTATTTCAAGCATACAAATGTTGCTCGCTTTTGGTCGTGGTAAGCATAACGAACTTTGATTTGTTCCTTTTTTTGTGTGTGAGATGCAACTCAAAATATGGATATATTTAGTATAATCTCCCCACATTGCCTGAAGGTCAAATCTCACCAGAAACTGTATTGCCTCCAAATGTGTGCCACTTTGATCTCCTTTTTCAGGTCATCTCAATAAAAAGAAAAAAGAAATGCCACGGAGAGGAAGCTTTCACAGTGTAAATCTGATTCTGAGTGGGATATTTGAGTGTGTGTGTCTCTGTTTTTACAGAAATACAATGGACACCTGCCTATTGAAATCAAGGCAGTGCCAGAGGGGAGTGTCATTCCTCGAGGCAATGTTTTGTTCACGGTGGAGAGCACAGACCCTGAATGCTACTGGCTCACCAACTGGGTGGAGGTAAGTTTGTTTTGTTTGTCCTCTGTGCCCAGAATGGATAGCAGGTCGATTCCTGTGGGTCCTGACATGAGAGAAGTGTATTGATCAATCAGAGCGCGTCAGGAAGGGACAGTCTAACTCAAAGATGCTGTCAGTAGGATTGTGGTTAATGTAGGATTCAGTGTTTTTGGAGCTGGACCCACACTAGGGACTAAAAATATGCATATCTGTCTTTTGTGGGTCACCCAACTTTATGGAAGTGCAATACTGAATCACTGCAATACTTCTTGAATGCTGTCAGACTTTAGCTCTGGATTAGCTCCGTCAAGCCATCTTAAACATCTCACCCCTGCGCCCTCATATTAGAGTTTAAATGCTAGCACGTTTCTCGTATTGCTACAAAAACTACATCGCTAGGCACATCAGTAAGATTTAATCATCATCTTTATTTGGTTATTGATTAAAGACGAAATACATTAGCAACATTTATGCCCTTTTAATTATAGAGGAGAGTTAACAGTTTTATAAAAGCCATAAACTATTTAGCTCGGCAGCGCGCCCAATGGCACCTCTTATCTCTCCTAAAATCTCACTGAATTACAGTCGTGTCATGGCTTCTAGCTTAATCGCTGCTCAGAGATGTGCTGTAACTGCAGCAAAGTCATTCATACAGGTTGGCTGGAAAGTACAGGAGCGGAGAGTCACTCGGCTCTAGGCACTAGAAAAATCCTCGTTTGGTGTTTTTGTAGTTGACAAAATTAAGTCTAAATCAACCCCTTGTCCTGAACAGTTTTCTGTCCGAGGCGTCACATCTCCGAAATTATTCTGAACAGTGTCAAGAATGTTTTTCAGCTTTATTCACTTTGCATTTTAATTTACTTACCGCCCCGTTTTTATACATACAGTAGCTACTTTGTTATAGTTAATAGCATGACTGCTGTTGTACTCCTGTTGTGATGTGACACGAGGAAAGACACAAACACCAAAATACAAACTGTTTGTCGTGTTTGTCCGTCTGGATGAATGGTTTCTTAAAGGAATAGGTCAACGTATTTGGAAATTTGCTTATCCCCTCCACTGGTTGACTAGCAACTGGTCCCAGTAAAGACACAAAAGTGGAATCAATCTTCTTATCAAACCCTAAGAAAGAAAACATTCAAAACATTCCCAAAACTATTCCTTTACCCACCCAAGTACTCTGTTCTTTTGGTAGAGTCACTAGGTGATATCAGTGTATATAAGCACACATAACATAACATAACTGACATACAGCATAGGTAAAATAGATCTTTTGTAAATTGCAGCAGGCGTGGCGTTTCATGCAGCCTCCTCACTGCTGCATTTATTACGCTGAAGCTAATGCACAATGTGATTCTTCCATGAGATGATCTCATGAACTTAATGCTGCATGAACAGACTGTCTGCAGTGACTGGGCAGAACTAAATTCATTTACCACGAGTAATATCTTCACTCTGTGTCTCCCTTTCTCTATGGCCCTCTTTGACTCATGCTGTCTCATTCTTCATGTCGGCCCCCATTCACAAGTATCATGTTTGACTTCATCCACAGATTAATCACGCAGTGGCTTCTCGGAATGTGATTAAACAGAAACAACGCGCTTTCTTTGTTTCTGTTTAATAATGCAAAAACAAAAGCTTTTGACATTCTGTACAAAGGACCATTTGTTCATGTCTTGCAGACACATTTTTAAGTAATTACAAATGTTTCTTTAAATGTGTACAAGTCTTTTTTTAATTCTTTTTTTTCCCCTGAAGTCCCTCAGTGGATATTGCAAAGCCAATATTTCCTAAATGCTGACTAGATTTGGCTCTATGATTTGGTGCTCATACAGTATACTCTAATGACAGAAACAGCATTCTGTGTGTGCTTGGACATAGGTCACCCACAGTCACAACATTTTTTTTCACTCCACACAAACAACATTTCTCTTTACACACTCAGTTCCGATAAAATTTGGATTTTTTTTTCCACCTTTTCATTACCACACTCGTGCTCTATGGCTGATATAAATACAGGCATGAACACACACACACACACACACACACACACAGAGTCATCCTTCATGGCAGATGTAAAATTAGCTATAGCGTTCACCCTGTTGTCCTTGAGTCTGTTCTCTATCTCTCCTTCACTCTTGCTGTCCCTTCTTTTTTGACTGTCTATCATTTTCTTCTCTTTGTCACATCACAATCTTTTTCTTTTACGTCTTTCTCGCTCTTTTAGCTCTCAGTTGCCCCCATACCTTCTCTATTCCCACTCCCTTCTTTCATTCCTTATCTCCCTCCATTTTGTTCTGGGACACTGACCAAGAATTTATGTTGGCACGTGTGTGTTTGTGTGTGTGTTTGTGTGCGCTTGAGTGGGTGTGTGTGCGCAAACATTCCTCCCGAGTGTTGTTCTTACGGTACCGCTGCCCCCATTAAAGACATTATCCCTGACAAACTGTCACACGGTGATGGCATGGTTTATTTGTCTTGTATAAATGTCACCGTCGTCTTAATTCTGAGACAATATTTGATTAAACACAAATGCACAATTAGATGTTTTTATAGTTTCGGGTCATGAAAAGTAAACAGACCTCTGGGGAAAAAAAGAAGTTGAACACGTTACCGTTGCCGCACAACTTTGAGAGCGTTTATCTACATTCAATCACGTTACGCTGTTATATTTCATGTTAAATGTTACATACTGATTCCACATGAAAAGGTTAAGATGCAGATAAAGCAGCGGGCACATGACCTGTGTGTGTGTGTGTGTGTGTGTGGACATTAACCGTGCTCTTGCAGTCACATGAGACCATATTATGGTTTAGATTATGATTAGTCTGAGGAGGCATGTGACTCTGTGCTGAGGTTTATAGGGGGAAAAAGACACGCCGCATAGTATTAGTAGGCAAAGTTGATTGACGAATCAGAACTGGAAGTTCACACAGATGAGGTTTGTCTCTTAAGAATCTCTCAAACAACTGTGAGGGGAGGGAAGATGGCTACGTGGTTTTTCGCTCGCTTTATCTCCTGCTAATGAGGTTTGACGCACGTGTACTTAGCTATCATTCCTATTATATACACACAGCTTCATGAGTGCTGAAATGTTCCAGCACAGTGTGTAATTACATAATCATGTCAGCTTCATGTTGTTGTACAACCCAGTGGTCACCATATTGGATTGATTTCTCTATCTAAGAATGGAAGTGAATGGTGTGTGGATTTAATGGTTAGAATAAAATAAAATAATATATTAATAATAATAATAATAATAATAATAGTTTAATATGAATGTATTCGCCTAGACTGGCTGGATTTATATACAGAAGCATAGACAGGCAGACCTTCACGCACACACACGTACCGTCCATGTATGATAATAGAAAGTGTGTATTCATAAAATTTCCCAGGTGGTGGTGAGTACAGATAAGCCACTTGTTTTCATATTGAAATGTGTGACTCTGGTCCAGAGTTGACATGAGGGATTGAGGGATGTATTTTTCCCAGAGTTTGTCTTGTGTGAATAATCCCCTTGAGCCTGTTAGTTTAGGGTTTTAGTACCAGTTGAATACTGGGAAAGCGGGATGATTGGACAAGGACATTCACTGGTCTGTTCTTTGCAAAAAAAAAAACTTGTGCTGCAGCTTTGCTTTGAAAACACTGGGGTTTTTTTAAGAGCTGAGAGATATTTTTAGTGAACTTTTGCAGTGAAATGTTGTGTGTATATAAATATCCAGTGAACTGGACTGAACTGAACTGAACTGTCCTTCCTCCCTCCATCAGACCATTCTGGTTCAGATCTGGTACCCTATCACTGTGGCGACCAACTCCAGAGAGCAGAAGAAGATCCTCGCCAAGTACCTCCTGGAGACTTCTGGGAACTTGGAGCGACTAGAGTATAAACTGCATGACTTTGGCTACAGGGGCGTCTCCTCACAAGAGGTACTGTATACTTTCCTATACTGCTATACTATACTATACACAATGAAGTAGATTTTGTTAAAGTTGTATCCTTACCCATACACCACATACATGTTAAGCAAATTAACAAATTTGACAAAATAATCCCAACTCAAGGTTGATTTCCCCGGAGCTTTCAACCATATCACACGGTTTGTTACGGATTAAAGCTCTGAAGATACTCGCAAGTGGCCTGTAAATTGGAATTTGATGGTGTTTGAAACAAACCATGCTCAGTCTAATTTATCAGGCAGGTAGGATTTAGTTAGTGGTATCTATCGGTGTACTTGCTGATTGCAGCACCCTCCCCTCACGCTCCCGTTCCAAGCGTGTAGGAGAACTACGGTGGCTGCAAAAAGCACAAAAGGCCCCATCTAGAGCCAGAGTGTGGTTTACCTGTTAGCACTGCGGTCAATATGGCAGCCTCCGTGGAAGAGGAACCGCTCCCTCCCTGTAGATAAAAACAGCTCATTCTAAGATAACGAAGACACAACAGTTCTTATTTTCAGGGGATTATACACTAATGAAGACATATCTAAGAATATTCTATTCAGTTTCTGCCAATATAACCTCCTAACCCTACACACAATGAAAGAAATGCAGAAATAAAAAGGTGGAAGACAAAAAAAAATGAATTTAAGATTTACTTTATAATGGAGTGTGTTTGCCCTTTTATCTCCCATGAACCATTTCCCTCCTCTTTGCAGACTGCAGGCATTGGGGCCTCCGCCCATCTGGTCAACTTCAAGGGCACAGACACGGTCGCCGGCATCGGAGTCATTAAGAAGTACTACGGCACCAAGGACCCTGTGCCAGGCTTCTCAGTGCCTGCTGCAGAGCACAGGTACACATTTGCTGTGGCATATTGAAACTTTGTCCCTGCTTAGAGACAGGATATCTCTCTGTGTGGCCTACATTTCTTTGCTGTAGAGTGTTTCCTGGCTTTTCCAGTGGGCTTAGTGGCACTGTTTCCATTGTGATGTGAGGCGGTAGTTCACCACCCACTTTAATTATTACACCAGTAATATAAGACCTCCCCGTTATGATATGTGTCTGCCAACATGTTCAACACTCCTTTTTTAATGGGATGTGCGAGGAAAGCAGAGAGTTTCGAGCATTGTATTTAGCCCCTGAAGGCTGATAAATTCCTGTGCACAATGTTAATTATCAGCATAAGCCACGTATTCACATATTCCCTGAAAGCACAGGGGCACAGTTGGCACACGGCGGCTCTATTCATCTCCTGTGCTGCCTCTGGTGAGATAGTCCACGTTCGGGCTGAGAGCCAGGCCTGGAAGCAGACTTTTTCACCCACAAGCCAAATTGATTTTCAAAATAAAAAACTTGTTTCAAATAACAAGTTGGTTATCTGCCAGAGCTGTTGATGGAGGGGAATTTATCAGCCAAAGTGAAAAATGTACTCATCATTTGGCTCAGGTTGGTGTTAATTCACTTCCCTGATTAGAGCCTGGTCACCCTCACACTAATTATCTGGTTCATCTCTGTCAGTTTGTGAATGGGACTGTGATTGGCTTAGAGGGGAAGGTTTTGATTGGCTGCTGCTTCCCTGACGCACATGTCCCTCACATGTCTCTGGTGTTGCTTTATGGCACCGATCCATTTATCCTGCTCTCTCTCTCACACACACACACACACACACTCTCTCTCTCTTTTTGTTTCGCTCTCATGCACACGGAGTCACTTCTTCCTTGCCACCAGGGCAGTTACTCCTGCTCCAGCGCACCCTTCTTCCCCGCACCAGTGCATTGTGGGATGGTGGCAGTAGTTGTCATAGTAACCGTTATGTAATGGCCCCCCTCGTCAGAGGGAGGAGTCACAGTGAAATTCCACTTTGATTTTGAAGGAAAGGGATGGTTGGGTGTTTTAGAGCAGAGGTGTGTCACCTTCAGAGCTCTTCCGTTCAAAACTTTGAGTGTCCTCCAATTTTTACACTTTGAAAGAAAAATAATACTTTTCCAAAAATGTGTACAGAAACTTGTATTAAAATAAAAAAAACAGTTTATAGTATTGTCAGTTCTGTAACGCAGTACAATTTGTGTAGTAATAGTATTGAAATATATACCATGTCTGTGTACACTGAACAGGTTTTACAATTCTTTGAGCGTTGCTCCAAAGAAATCAGAAACCAAATTCTAGATACCTCTGTTGTATTGTGGTGGTGGAATCTTATTTAATCTCACAACCCCAGGACATAAAATTCACACTGTCTTCAGGGTCAGATTTGACTGGGGGAAAACTGGAAAGAAGATGTCCTTATTTGGGTGAACTTGGTTGTTCAACACAGAGGGTGCTAATGTGACTGGTCAGGGGAGAGAAAAGACGCAGTGCCCAGAGCTAATCAGGCAACAAAAAGCAAGATCATCATCTTAAACAATGCTATGTGTGGCACACTTGGTATATGAACAGCTATATTTGTAATCTACTGTGACACTGAGCCTGGAGTCTGCAGCCGCCTGCAGCAACTCAAATGCAAATGTTCAGGAGCCAAACTCATTTCATCACACAGTACAAACACCCGCCGCAGGTCTAACATTAATAAACAGGCACAATATTTTGATGCCAAAAAGATTAAACCCCTTCCCAGCTTATGGTGCACCTGTATGTGGGATTTGCGTTTCCCCGTTTATTGGCGTGATACCACAGTTATCGTGACCATCTTCCTTCTAACCATCAACAAATTACAGAGCAGAGAAAGGCAGTCACAACGCTCTACAATCTGCTTTTTAAGGTGGCTTTAACAGACCTGATTTAACATAAAAAGAAAAATGCAATTTGGCCCAGGGTTGCTTTCAATCAAGACTAAAACCTGGAGTGCGCTGCCCCCTTCTGGACGATCTGTGGCATTATCTTTTGATAAATGGCTATTCTCTTGCTCCCATACTCTTGTAGCCAAAGAGATAACTAATGCGAAGTTCCTGCTACTTTTTGGCTTACTTTAAATCTTTCCACCTCTTTTTTTAACTTTCTTATTTTGTTGTACTTTTCCCCCCCTTGTGTCTTGCACAGAAGTTGTCCATGTTGTGTTATAGCTTTGATCAACTACATGGGAAGAGAAATTGTCGTAGGACAAAATAATAATTTCTTTGTCGTTCTCTCTGCAGTACCATCACAGCGTGGGGAAAAGACCATGAAAAAGACGCCTTCGAGCACATCATCAAACAGTTTCCCAACGTGCCCGTATCCATAGTCAGCGACAGCTACGACATCTACAACGCCTGTGAGAAGATCTGGGGAGAAGACCTTCGGGGCCTGATAGAGAAGCGCAGCGCAGATGCTCCGCTGGTCGTTCGGCCGGACTCAGGAAACCCTCTTGATACGGTTTTGAAGGTGTGGTCACGTGCGCGGCTTTCCTTTCAACTAGGATCTTAAAACAAGCCAGGACACTAACTCTCTCTGTACCACCTTCCTCTTCCTGTCCTCAGGTTTTAGAGATCCTGGGTAAGAAGTTTGTTCCAGTGGAGAACTCTAAAGGTTATAAGGTTCTCCCTCCTTACATCAGAGTCATACAAGGAGACGGAGTTGACATCAACACACTGCAAGAGGTACGGACACGTGCTATTTATTGATGATGTGATGTATAAGATGGTAAAAGATTTTCATTGTACATTATGTGCATCAGAAATTACAGAGTGGTACTATTGCATTGTTTTTTACTGTGTGTTTTTCCACAGATAGTGGAGGGTATGAAGCAACACAGGTGGTCCATTGAGAACATTTCCTTTGGGTCCGGAGGGGCTCTGCTCCAGAAACTGACCAGAGATCTGCTCAACTGCTCTTTCAAATGCAGCTACGTGGTCACTAATGGACTGGGGGTGAGTACCAGTTATGTGAATGGAGTTATTGTGTTTCTGTGATCATTTTTGTAACAGTCTGGTGTTTAAATAAGACTAGTTACAGAGCGTTTAGATTGTGGGTAATGTAACAACTCATGGGGGGTTGAGCGTTGCATCACCAATCAACATTAAATCAAGCATTTTGTTTGTTTTAGACGTCCTTTAACTGTTAAACGGGTATGTAACTGTTGACCACAGATGAATAAGTACAGAACAGTACAGTACTTCTTTTTGTCTGCGCGGCGGTTTGTGTAATAGACATGATTTTGAAAAATCCCTTTCCACTTAAATGCAACGTTGTTTTTCTGTGCGAAAAGGTGAACGTGTTCAAGGACCCAGTGGCTGACCCCAACAAGAGGTCAAAGAAAGGTCGCCTGTCTCTGCACCGGACACAGAGCGGAGACTTTGTCACCCTGGAGGAGGGCAAGGGCGACCTCGAGGAGTATGGCGTGGTGAGTTTAAAGCACATAATAGCACACAGACACTTTTGTACAGATGAATGCAAAGCAATTTGTTTTACCAACACTGACCTTGCCTCCTCTCTCACCTTCATTTTCTGTTTTCCTCTGCCCCTCCTTCCCTCCCTTGTCACCTGTTCCTCTGTACTCTTTTCATTTTACCCTCTCTCCCCGTGTTGTTTTTCTAATCGTCTCCAGGACCTGCTGCACACAGTCTTTCAGAACGGGAAGATTGTGAAGACGTACACATTTGATGAAGTCAGAGACAATGCTAAGCTCAAAGAGAGTGAGCTTGAAGAGCTGCTGCACTGAGCGCAGCACTACTGAACCCGCCCCCACCCTCCACCCTAACCCCCAAAACAACCCCTCCTTCCCCCCCCCTTTTAACCCTTCACCTTTTGCCTCCAGCGTCACCTCAGAAAACGGAGGTAGCGTGCACTGCTAATAGATCCCACCCTAAAGCCTGAAACCCCCCCCTCCCGAGGACGTTCCTAAAAACCTGAGAACTCCCTTAAAATAACGGAAATCACCTCAGTTTTTGGAGTAGAGAATTTGGAACTCCCACACCTCTGGTGAACAGCGAAACACCCCATGAGTGTAAAGGGAAAAAGAAAAGAGAGAGAGGAATGACCGAACAGTTTAGTAAAACAGGAACAACAGAGAGGAAGGTCGCGATTACGATGACAAAACGTGCGTTCACCTTCCACGCTGCTGCCGCTCCTGATTGGACTTCAGCAACATTGCATGTAAGTCTCGGTACACACCTCCGCCAACGATCAAGATTGACCTTGAGCCGCTGAATAGGTGTGTGTCTGCAGACTTTTCCATGCAGACACAAAAGCAAATCAGAGATTGTAGGCTTTTTGAAAGAGCTCCGCGGCGGCTGCATGGCGACGTGAACGCCCACGGCGAGTCGCGGCGAGAAAGCCGATGTCAGAAAGAGACAGGAGAATATGAAGCCACACCCCACACCAATGACCCCCCCCCCCGTGTATCGGTGTTTAGAGAAAAAAATATATACATGTCTGAATCTACTTAGCTTTGTCTTTTACGTGAAGGAGAAAATGATGGTTATAGTATATAGCAGGTGCACCGATAACATTGACAAGCAACGGCTAACATGTTGCTTTCTACTTTGGAGATCATGAAACTGTAATTATGGCGATGCTTTTAATCATTAGTTATGGCCTAAATTAAAGAAGGCCAACATGTATCAAGTACTACCTGAATATTTTGTACTCTTTACTCGCCAATAAAATGTTATTGGTGCATCTCTGAAGGTATATAAGTGATCATCTCTTGCCATTATGTTGTCCACAGAGCGTTCATATCATGAAGACACAATTCCACAATTCGTTCAAGGAGGGAGGACCTCAAAGTGGGCGTTTAAATGTTGTTTTTTTTTTATTTCATGAATATATATTAAAAGAATGACAGCATTATTGTCAAGCTCATTTTCTATCAATGATTAAGTGTTCCGTGTCCTGGAAGAAGTCCAAATCTTCCCATGGCTAAGTTGACAAATATTGGATTTGAGTCAAAGTTCCAGATTGGGTCTTCATTGATGGCGAATGCTCTTAAAACAGTCTTTACTGTACAAGACCAAGATTGATGTAAGAAGAAAACTACATCACGAAAATTGTCTTCACTGGAATGAGATGATCTTAATTATGTGTTTATGAAGATACATATGTGGCTCCTGGACAGAAATGTATGTTAAATGTTGATGTGTGTGCTTGGATCCGTGTGTGCGATGGGTTGTGTGGTTTGTGTGCGAGGGGGTGTGTGTACTGACGTTTTTTCCCCTAAAGGATTGCGTAGTATTCCTTTATGCAAACGTACCCGTCGATAAGGGAATAGAGGAACACTCCTTCCTTTTTACCTTTGTCGGCCTTTTATTCTGAAAGGGGGGCGCAGCTTGGTGACAACAGGCACTGATACAGGTTTTTTTTCTTTTTTTTTTTTTCTTTTGGCAATGGTAGGAAAGAGAGGCAATAGGGCAAGATCGGGAATCAGAAATAACTTTACTGACAGCACATGTACCGCCATGCTTTGGCCAGTCGCGGTGTCTCGGGTTATCACTGCTTTTACTCCTTAAAAGCAGGGAAGCTTCAGGAAGCGGTGATTCTTGGGAAAAGGGCATGCGGTACTCTTGGTTTGGGACCTCATTGCCCAGGTATGAATGGGATCTTGCTGATACTGTCTTTGGAGATAATTATCCTTCCCATTCAGAGCTTCTCTAAGGAATTTCACTCCACTGTGTGCGGGTGAGTCACATTGCTGAGTCGACCCTTTCAGAGTGAAAGGATTTTTTCTGTCGTAGAGTTGGAGGCTTTAAAGAGGAGGCTAGGAGCTGGTGACGTCAACAAGAAATTTTTTTTTTTTTTGGTGGAAATGTTCTAGGCTGTGCCTCCACTTAAAATTTTGGCACAATAAAAATGATTTTTTTTTTTGCCATTTGGTTCTAGGAATGGCTATGTCAGTCTGCACTTTGGTGCTGAAATATATTCACACAGCTGTCGGAATAATTTGCCGTGATATTTTGCACCAACATACATGTTCCCCAAAAGTTATATAACTTTTAATCTAAAGCCATCATCAGGTTTAAATTTTAAATGTCTAATCCTTTGGTTTTATGACCAAATACCTGAAAAACTAATGAACATTCCCTCAGCCTCATCTGTATGTTGTTGTGTCACAGAGCTGCTACCATGGACTTTAAACTGTCGGGTATTAGTTTATTCTCTCCCTGCAACACTAACGTTCAGCCATTTTACAGCCAGTACTTCCAACACACACACACATACACACACTCTCCTGGGAGCTGCCCACTGCTACCACAGTGTAAATGTTTGCCACTGCAGCCGCTTCACCGGAGCTATCTTTAGAGCTTTCATTGGACCTTATTCCCTTTCCCCCACGGACGCCGACCCTGCTAGGTTTTCTGTGTTTTTTTTAAGACCTTGAAGAAACCTGTGATGTCACTGACTCCCACACTCCCACTCCTGGCTCAGACCAACCTGCTCAAACACAAGACAAAAGCTGGCAAACAAACCACAGCTCGTCACAACGCTGAAACAATGTCACACCTAGTTTCTTTATTTTCCTTTTGGGTTTGCACTGTCAATATCGTTACCTGTCAAAATAATTTGTTATCCAATTGTTCTGGAGTAACGACACAGTTGTTGTTCATTTTTTATTTTCCAATCATGGGTGCATTTTAGTAAAACTTTGATTTTACTTATTTTGATACTGTCTCAGTTCTATACTCAGAGAAATATTATTTTGTATGACAAAGTTGAGAAAAAAATGCCGAAATATTGCAGTAAATAAACCTTCATTTACAAACGATGCGGCCCATACTGCCTCTCACTTGTACATACAACAACTATCTTACTGAACGCAGCGAGAGCGGGATAGGGAGACGACCACATTTAGTAATAGTATTCTTATTATTTGTTTGTCAGAACAACCGTTTTTGTTGTACCAAACAGAAGAATATCCAAAACGGCTTGACTGAATTGGCAGTGTGACTGTTTTTTTTGTGGACTGTCAAGCTTTTAGCTTCTGGTGTGTGTGTGTGTGGTTGTGTGTGTGTGTGTGTGTGTGTATGTTGTGTGTATGTAGCCTTGCGTGAAATGCCTCTTGATGTAATGGATGAAAAAAAAAACCTGTTTGTGAATGTTGTTGTTTTTTACTCGTATGTTATATGTGGTTGTCCCAAAATCTCTCCCAACACAACTGATATTTTACACAAACATAACTGCTATATTGTCAACAATACATTGATTAAAGATGCCACCTGTCAGTTTGGAAATGGTTGATTTATTTCGCCTGCTTTTGTACTAGGATGGACATCATCATCAGCTATTAATATTGTATCTTCTCTGAGTCCTGTTTCAACAAAAACTACAGTGTACAAAATGGTGTTAGCAACACTTTATTTTATGGCCTGTAAATTTCCTCAAAAATTTGGCAAAATGTAGGAAAAATAAGAGATCTGTTCCAGGTAAAACTCATGGAAAATATTAGTGCTTTAATGTAATCAATTTGAATGGATTATTGGGAACATTTATTTTTCATATTTTGTTGATTTTGTTTAGCTGGGTCTGTCACAATGTTTGCTTGTGCAGCTGACCAGTTTGCTGAACTGACTTAGAGACTCCAGATTAAGTGAGCAGTTAAAGAGACAATAAGGAAAACTCGCTGATGGTCTGTGTTTGTTTATGCGCGGTCATATGGAGGCATCAGTATTAAATTGAGACTGTTTCATAACCAGTTAAAAACTCCTAGTATTAGATTTAATTGAAATGAATACATTGGAAGTGTACTAATTTAACCCTGCTGCTATTTTTCCTATTATTCGTATTAAATTCCATTCTTTCTAGGAACCTTCTTGTAAATTATTCAGAAATGATGAATCTGTAGAAGAAAGTGTTAGTTATATATAAATATATATATAGATTTAGTATCACTTCAGTCTATTGAGGTTGGTGTAATTTAAAGACAACATAAAAACACACTTCTCTATCTGTGTTGTTTTGTAACATGTTTCTGTGCTACAGAGCTGCATACAGACAACCAACAGAATTTCTATGTCTGCTTGGTGTTGGTACGCTTTTTGTTGTGAGACATCCTGGACATTTTTCCTTTCTCACAAAGTCAGCTTTGTTGTTTTTGAGGAGTAAATCTCCGCTCAGTCTCACCACAACACATTAGGTGTAGTATTAGACAGTAACATGTAGCTGTAAATGGGCTCTTTGTGTTTCACTGCAGTGAGAGGGGCTTCGAGAGAGATCCAGTGTGTAACATGAAGGAGGATCTATGGGCAGAAATGTAATATAATATCCATAGGTTTTTATACGTGTATAATCAACTGGAAATGAGAATAGTTGTGTTTTCATTAGCTTAGAATAAGACTAAGATTTTTCACAAGTTCCACGGCCATCGTAGTTTCTCCTACGTGTTTGAAAGATCGATCCACCGCTTATAGATGCCACTACATCCTACACACTTAAGTTTAAGTCCAGCTCCAAAAATACTTCCCACAATGCATCTAAATAGCATCTTTTATTTTACCCTTTCCTGCCTGATGAACATCTTTCCAAGCTAATGCAAGCTTTGTGTTCAAATGTCTCCAGCCCCAAGTCAATGATGACCCAGATGATGTCATCAGGGTTAATTTTGAGACTTTAATGAACTCCTCCAGAACTACAGGAGACATTATGCAACAGTGTTTTACAGGTTTCTGATAAAAGCTTGATCGATATCGACCTGGCCGGTATATCAGCTAAAATTAACTTATCGCAGATATCAGAGATAAGTCAGCACAGAATTGCCAGAGAGATTTCAAAGCAGTGCCTCCATTACAAGGTGTCCACCAGAGAGCACCAGCTGTTCAGATATGCTTATGTCAGACATTGTGGGGACCCTCCCCCACAATGTCAGATGCAACTGCTCTCAGAGATTGTGTTTTTTTTTTTTTCTTTCTTTCTTTGTTGAAAGAATTTTGAGAATCTGTGGTTTTCTCTGGGAGTCATATGACCCCAGTCAGCACTAAAGAGGCGTTGCAGAGTAACTGCAGACTCAGCAAGGAGGAGGCAGCCTGCGTACTCCAGCGGATGGATCCAATGAAAACCGCGTAGGACGCTTTGATGCCTTTTGGTACTTGTGTGGAAGTCTCTGGGTGTTACTGTGCCTGGATCTTCTGAGGGTAATTCGTCGTTTATATTGTAGCTGCATGTATTTTAAATTCTCTTTGTTGTCTTTTCTAATATTATCGTTTGGGAGTTTGAATTCTTTTTTTTTTTTTTTTTTTTGCCAGCCCAGTTGAGGAAAAAACTAAAACTGTCTCGCAACAGTGTGGAAAGCTATAAGATACGCCTTTTCACCCAGCATCCTTATCCTGTAACTAAACACGCATGACGCTTTCTCGCCTCAAGCAAAGCGTTATTTGGCACACTTTTACGCTTCACCCGCGACGTCGCCTGCGTATTTTGCGCATCACCAAGTGGAGCGCTAGTTTTTCAAACTACACTGCAAAAAATACCCACCTTTAACTCGTGATTTTTCCATTCACACTTGTTGCTGAAACCTTTTAAACTGTATTTTTACTAAGTGGAACGATCTCACCTGCCTGGCAGTAAGTGAATTCGGGTCATTTTGCGCAAAGTTGGCTCAAAACTCACTTTAAACAACTTGGGCAGGCTCATTTCTTGCAGCGTTGGCAGTAAAACCACGTCACTCTGTCAGACAACTCCCCTTTTTTCTCCCTGTTGGACCCAACATCCACAGTTTAGGAACAACTGGATAAAGATTTTGGCTCAGAAGCACAATCATGATGACCGGATTTCGGTTGAATTTGTCGCCGCTGAAGGAGCCTCTGGGCTTCGTTAAACTGGTGGAGTGGGTAAGTTAGATGCATATTACTGCATGTGTGTGTGAGAGAGAGATAGAGAAAGGGATAGAGAGAGTGTGTGTGTGTCATACCCAGAGGACAGGGAGGTTCAGTCCTTTTTCTTGGTCCTTGGATTTTCCCTTTTCCCCCTGGTGATTTTCACTCTTGAGAATAATCCCTAAAGTAATCTGTTTTAGATGGAAAAACACACAAAACATGAGCATTACTTGTTCACACATTCATAGTATAATTAAATAAACTTTAGTTCATCTGCAGCTTTGAGGTTTTTACACTTTCAAGACTTAATAAGATGTTTGCACTAATGTAATTTAGTTAATAAAGCTTAAGATGTCAAAGTTGGTAGTGTTTATCATACAAGGATGGCCAAACTGATACCCAACCATATGCTTAAAAGTTTTTCTTTAATACCTTTACTTTACTGTGTTGCCATCTTAAGTTGCATGGAAGGAAAGTGTGTGCTTCTGCTCAGTTGTGTCCACTTCATTCGGATCATTCTGCTGGTTTCAGTGGTCTGCCCTTCAGAGGACACAGTTACAGATTAATGCATCCCTCACCAATAATTTACCTCCGAATAACAGATGGTTGAAACAACTCACGCACTTGAGCACACAGTCTGTGTGTCATGAGAGTACATGCAACAATTCCTTGCAGAAAAGTCCAGCAATCAGTTCTGCTCTACATAACTGGGTCAGAGGAATCCAGTGTGGAGTAATGTAGCTCGGCTACAGCTGTTCTATTTTCTCATAATTCAAACGCACACATACATGGGCTATAGAGCAGCAGTAACACCCAGTCATCTGACAAGGTTGTGTGTGAGTGAGTGTGTGTGTGTTTTTCACTGTGTTGGCCTTATGTAACTCTTATTAACCCAATATAGTTTGTAATTCACAAGGGACTGGATGATAAATTGTGTTCGTATTCACTTATTTAATGTTACGAATATTCTATGTGATGAAAGAGGGATCTCAGCCCACCCAGTAGCGCGATAGTTGAACAACACTGCTTTACTACTTTAATTATTACAATAACTCACTGTTAGGAAGCTATTTTTAGAAAATGAATTATTTGATTGATACTTGAACACAAGTTTTTATTAGGATAGGATAGGATTATTTTACAAATGTATTCCATTGCATTATTGCCAAATTTAATCAATAGCTTGATGGTACATAAGCTACATTCAGGTTACCCATCATACTGTATTCGATCTGTAACACTAATACAGATAAGACAAGGTTTTGCATGCACATTTGTTCATTGCCATGGCTTCATGCTTCATGCCTAATATTAGAGCTGAAATTAAACAAAAAATAATCTGCAGATTTTTTGACAATAGAACAATTGTTCAATTAGTCATTTTTCTACCATAAATACCACTAACACTCCCTCATTTCTGGTTCCCAGTTGTAAAAAGCCACCCTTGGCTTTAGGACACTGTACTGCAATGGGCATTTTATTATTATTTTAATTGTTATTCTGATGTTCTATAGAGACTAAAATGACTAAATAATCAGTAGATTCATAGATAATAAAAAAATATGTGTTAGTGGCAGTCCTACTTCAGGCTATTTATAAGGTTTTTATAACATGTACACTTTTTTTGTGAGACACACTTAACTATTTAATTGTGGTCTACAACAGTGGTTCTCAATATTTTCGCAGTCAAGGACCCCCTAATTGGTCAGTCTGATATTTGATAAATAGTAGTCTTGGGGATCCCTATCTGATAATATTAAGTGATTTAGTTAAACCTATGAACAGAATAGTCCTTCTTATACATTCTGGCATTGGACTAACATATAGTTACATAATAGTGAAATTAAAATTTCTGGGCACCACCAGGATATCCGTCAAGGACCCCTATGTCTCCAGGTTTAGAACCAGTGACCTACAACATAACCTAATCTCTGTCACTCCTCATATTGATTCATGTAGAATAGTGTATATCTTATTTTCAGGCAGCAGCAGTAAATGTCTGTTTGGCACATGAATTTGGGGCGTAAATCTAAAACATAGCAGTTGAGTGGAAACAGTAAGTTGATGATATCATTCTGGAGTTCTGACAGATGGCTCATCACCACTGCTGTTGATGAAATTGGAGGCTATCCAGCAGGTTGCCTTGTCTAAAATCCAACATTTTTGTCTGATGTCCAATCACCCCGTGAACCTCCGAGTAATCTACATGAAAAAGTAGTTTACTTGGCACATGAGTGGCTTGGCCCAAACGCTCATACGTTCCTAGATATTATCACCCACACAGTAGTAAACAGGAAGGAGGGTACGGAATAACAAATGCTACAAGACTGCCCCACTTACTCACCATGTTGAATAATGATGATAAAGCTATTTCTCAATATTTGGACTTGTGGCAATGCCAGGTCTATCTGCCAAAAGATGGAGAGCCAGGTTTCTTGAGCTTCTGGAGGAACCACAGTGACCAAATGGGCACACGCTCCACTGGCTTTTTTTCGGCAGACTGACCAAGACTCATTGACCTCTATGTAAGAATTAAAGGGAACACCAGTGATGAGAAGATATTTCAGATTGATATTCATCAGATTACAGGTCATTCACCCGAGAAGCAGTTTTTTCTCTTTTCATTGTTTGCATCTAGTACAGGAACCGGACACGTAACTTTTGGCACATGTGAGTGGTTTCTGTATGCAAACTGCTTATCCTGTCTCACAGTTTGGTTACAAGTGAAGACAGTTGTGTGGTTTGCAGATGTCTGGGACACCAGCGAAAAAAGCCTGAGGACTTCTTCTGATTCGATCGCCATGTTTGGAGAAGGTGCCACCTGTAGCCTTAATTGGGACTAAATGGTGATATTGGAAACATGACAAAATACCCAAATGTCGGACAGTGTTTGTGCAGTGTAGTATTTATGCTCTGTTTAAAAGTGTACAACATAAACAAAAGAATTCAAATGTCAGTGTGTGTGTGTGTGTGTGTGTGTGTGTTTGGGTCCACGCAATTCGTTACAGTTGTTCATGCTGAGGCTCCATGACCTCGTAGTGGGGAGTGATGGACTCAGTGAAAAAATAAATGTGAGAAAGTAGCTCACCATGGTGTGTAGCCAGAAAAACAGGAAGTGGCAGCCAGTGACATGCTGGAGAAACATCTGGAGAGGGCGCTTTGAGTGTGTGTGGGTGTGTGGTGTGTGTGTGTGTGTGTGTGGGGGGGGGGGTCTTGTGGTGTGAACAAAGAACTAAAAGTTGAGGTGGCCTGTCGTAAAGCATTTTTCAAAGTATAGTATGTTACAGTTGTGCTGATGAAGAGATTTAAGAGTCAGTTAAAAGTGTGTTCTTTTTGAAATGGTTTTGTATTGGTGTGTCCTCCAATTTCCTGTGTGAAATTAAAGATTACCTTTGTCACGCGTGTAATCCCTTCCTGTTCCACCGCAAAACTTGTCTTACTAACATTAAAAAGGGGTTTAACTAGATTATTTTGCTTCACATTTATTTTTGGGGCATCCTTTTTGATGATTTTCTGGTTAAAGAAAGTTGCTCCCTTTTGGTGTCTCTGGGCACATTTAAGCCTATTTATTTGCAGTAGCAAAGGGGAGCAAAAATCATCTTACTTTAAAGCTGCTGTAATCAATATTTTTCCTTAACAGTAGATCAAATGGCTATGTGTAATTTGAAAGAGCACACACATCAATAAACCGACAGGGAATTATCACCCGATTCTGCAGTGCCCCTCAGCTCTATGGAGCATTTTAGCATCTTTGAGCTCATTGTTTTGGTTCACTCAGCTCTCATTAGCAGTGAGTCCAGTGTGTAACATTGAGGAGGATCAGTTGGCAGAAATGTAATTTAATATGCATAACTATGTTTTCTTTAGTGCATATATGTATGTGAATTATCTGTGTCTGCTAGATGTGAAAATAGACACTGCTGTTCATCATCATCATCATCAACTTTTTAAGGTGATATTAGGTCAGTGTTACAGGTTTTTGTGAAGAGCTGGCCAAAAAAAATCAATGAATGCAGGTTAAAGATGTGTTTTGGAAACAGGGATGTTAAAACATGAGTTTCTGGATTCTTCCCTTTGTTTCCAATAATCCTTAACTGCAAGACATACAGTAGCTGAGCTAAAGGCTTAGTTATAGTTTCCTAACCAACGTGATTTAAAAGGTTCAAAATATCTGCTTTGTGATGCCACACAGTTTATTCTGTGGTTTGTTGTTAATCTTTGAATCAGTATTGTAATGTTGTAGCATAGCTGTCTGTTGTACTGGAGGGTTCAGTCAGGATGTAAGATCACAGGCAGAGACATGACGCTATGCATGTTCGAAAATGTGTGAAAACTCTTTAACAGCACATTTTGAGAAGAACAAACTCTTCCTCTGCAGTATATAGTGATTTACAATGCACATTTTCATGTCAATTCATCATCACCAGTGAGGTCTGAGTAAAGTGATATCAGTGAGAGTCTGAATGAGCTCAGTACCCACGAATTACATGATTATCGTTTTGCCTACTGCAGTTTGAGGGTTAAGCTTAGTAGCAGCCACCCTGAAAGAGTTTAGTATGTGTTGGTTTTAAAGGAGAGTATTAGTGTCACATGGCCTACACGCTGAGTCAGATGCTTTCTGCCTCTGCAAGAAGGAATTTAAGAGCTGAATAGCAGCATTAGTGCAGCCATGTAAGCCACAATTGATTGTGAGATAGCAGTTTGGTGATCAAACATGCAAATCGGGCTTGTTAAGGAAACATTTCTTATTGTTTATTCTGTGTGGTGTCACTGGATGACTGCAACAGCAAAGTGTAAAATTAGTACAGAAAATCAAGGGTGTTTTATTTGACTAAACAAAATGAGAAGTGTGATTCAGATTGGATACTTCCATTAGAAAAGCAAAGGACTCGAGATAAATGATCTTGTTAAAATTGTTGAGTAGTGAGTTTTATTTTCAGCTGTTTGTAAGAGTAAAATGCGGGCCATCTGTTGGTCCCTCTGGCTCTCCAGTGCTGACGTTATGTTTTAGACTGCCAGCTTTCTTCTGGGTGTGAAGTTCTTCAAGCTACATTGCCCACATACATACTGAATATTATCCCATCCTCCTTAAAGAAATCCCTAGTATTGTCTTGGTTTCTTGGGTTTTTGATATTGATTTCCCCGAAGCTGAACGAGGTTTTTCTCACATCGCTCTGAACCATTTCCCTAATCGCTCGCTCTCTCTCTTGTCTGTCCAAACAGCTCACAGCCATATTTGCTTTTGGAAGCTGTGGCGGATTCTCAGGGAAGAACATCATATCTCTCTTCTGTGGGGATGGCAGGAATGAAACTCTAGATGCCAACTTTCACTACCCATTTAGGTGAGAATCTCAACAAAATTTGGGGTATTTTTAATGTCAGGCACAGGTTTGAAATGTAAACTTCAAGAGGACCAGCAGCCTACATGATAATACATTCATTATAGAACAGCATTTGAAGGAATAACCATCTAAAAGCAGCAATAATGATGATTTAAACCTGCCATCTTGCTTTGTGACCAGGTTAAGCCAGGTCCCACTCGTCGAGGGAAACACCACTATTTGTAACCACACTGTCACAACAACGCACATGGTGGGAGACTCAGCCTCCTCAGCAGAGTTCTTTGTGGGCATCGCCATAATCTGCTTTCTGTACAGCATGGTGGCTCTGTTGGTGTATTTAGGCTACATGCATGTCTACAAGGACTCTGACTTTGGACCCATTTTCGTGAGTACTGATCTTGCTCCAGTATTAAATCAAGCTGTGAAAGTGCTACAATTTCCTACTAGAATTCGTGGGTCACTCAAAATAAAAGACTCGTAGCTTCTGCCTGCAGAGCTGATGTGTTTGGCCTTGTTTCCAGGACTTTGTGGTCACAGCGATCCTGGTCTTCCTGTGGCTGGTGTGTTCGTCCGCCTGGGCGAAGGGCCTGCAGAATGTGAAGGATGCCACAGACACTGATGGCATCAGCGCCACGCTGGCACTCTGCAAGGGGAGCAACATCACCTGCGAGGTCACAGAGTTCGCCAACATGCGGACGCTCAACATCTCTGTGGTGAGAAAAAATACAAGGCACTTTTGAGGAGATTTTGCTTACATTTGCACTAATCTCATAAAGATCTCCATCCAGACATGTATTAAGACAAACATTGCTTGGAACAGTAATATCTGCCTATTATGTTTGTCCCCATCTACTCCTTTGACCTCATAAAAAATTCCAGATGTCAATATATCCTGCCTGTAGGCCCCGCCCCTTACAATCTGATTTAAGAAGAGAAACTTTCCACTTACAGAAGATGAATGTGAAAACATCCCCCTAGTGTCAAACATACATCATTCTGCACAGTGAAGCTCAAACATCCAACTGTAGGAACAAGAAGAAATAGAGAAATATTTTTGAGGGGGAGGGGGGGTTAAGGATAAACATTAAGCAGCCTGACTCGCAGTCATGAGACTCTGAGCAATAACAATTTCATTTTCCTCAGACAATGTAGTCTGCTCAATAAGTCCAAAGCAAATTTGTTGGAATGAACACAAATGTGACCACGGTTCAAGTCCCTGAAACCGTCCCAATCTGTTTTCTTCTGTTTTGCTGTTCTTCCAGGTGTTTGGCTACCTCAACATGTTTGTGTGGGCGGGCAACGCCTGGTTTGTGTACAAGGAGACCCGTTGGCACTCCCAGAAATTCTCCTCTCAACCAGGACCTGCAAGGCAACAGGTCCCTGCACCCATCTAACATTCAGTAGAGCATAAAGCAACACAAACACACAGTCGCGTACAAATACTCACATACACATACACATCACACATAGGCGGACACAGACAGCCACAATCTGAGCACATGCACACTCACTGTATGACCACATGTGCATGAAGACATTATTTTACACACACACACACACACACACACACACACAAATGCTCTGTGAAGCTAAAGAAGAGAAAACGAAGGATAAATTGACTGAGGGATTTGGAACAATATTGGATTTGGACTTTATCAATGCAGTAGCAGCTGTGTGGGTAGTACACAGACCTGAATTAGCATTTTGTAACCCAAAATGACTTAATTCACGGCATACTTGAACTGAGAGCAGTTCTAAAAAGCAACATAAATTTCCCAAAAGATATCCTCTGAAGGCCTAAGCAACCCCGCAGCAGTCCGAGGCGGGGGGGGGGAGGAGAAAGTGTCATGTGTAGATTAGGCTTTGTTCTTTTTTTTTATTCTTGCCTGTTTCATATACTATAGCAACACCAATGCAAGTAGTATATCAAATCCTTTAAAATCTGCCTTCTTACAACCATTTCTTGATGGTTTCTTATGCTTTAGTAAGCAGATACATGCACAAACAACGACCAAATGTGTTCTTTAAACCTAAGCTTTATAGCAGCCTTATAAGAAGAGAGGTTTCCTTACTTCTCTGGTCCAATATTAGGATATTGGCAAATGTATTCTGCTTAATTATATACTGACGAATGTAAGATACTTTGAACTCATCTCTTTGTCTCTGACAGAAAAGCAACCACAAGAGACAAGATTACATTTTTTAATACCTGCAGCAATAGGGATAATGTGATCAAGGTTGTCAGGGTAACAGAGAGGGTAAAACTGTTGTCTGTAGTGCACTATGACGCATGAAACTCTATACCATATTACCAGTTTTCAGAATTCCATTCATTGTGATTTATTGACGTACAGTATATCACATACATTTAATATTGGCCTTGAAACCGAGCCATGCATATTTTGTATATTTTTTTCATTCTTTCATCCATTTGCTCTCACAGTTAGCCCAGCTGCCCCCCTAGTGGTGGCTAGCTGGTATTGCAATGGCTGGACAAAACTAAATTAGGATTATTAATTAGCAAAACTAGCGTAAAGATGTCCTCTTTTCATGAAGTACACTGATGAGGTGAATCCATATAAACGTCTTGATCCTGCACTGGTTTTCCTCACAGAGGTCGATCTATGCAAGGAGGACAAGGAGGCAGGTTGTTCACTAACTCATACGGTGCTTAATATGCTGTCCTTCAAAGCACTGCGGGAGTGTGAATCTATTTAGAGTACTTGATTGAGAGTTGGCTACTCAGTTAGTTCAGGAAAGTCTTGCTGTGTGAGTGCAGCCGATGTTTGAAATCTTTCAGTTCCTCTGTGTCTGAAGGCTTTGATTTATTTAGTCTCTACTAAGGTACCAGATGAAGGTTGAATCCGTCCTTGATTGTGTCATTAAAAAAAAACAAAAAAAAAAACCTGTTTGTTGTTATCATTTTGAATGTAGTAGTGGCTTTTATCTGAACTTCTTCATTTCATTTTCATTCATTTTTGCATCACTGTTAAACAGAAACAACTCTGCCAAAGCACTATTTTTTTTCTCTTCTCTGTTCAAGCTTATCAGTATCTCTCCATGTGATGCTAAATCATTTATTTCGTTGCAGTTCAAACCACTCCGTCCTGTGTAGTTTTTTTTTTAAATCCTTCGTGAGACACCAAACTTGTGTTGTGTTTTATAAACTGTGTCACCTTTTTGTCTTATTTTTTCACTTTCAGTATATGTAGATGATTATTTGAAGGGCTTTCTTTTTTTGTCTATTGTCTTTTGATATAGGAAAAATGGAAGTGGGATGATGTGAATTGAAACATTTGAACGTGTTTGGTATACTGGTTATGCCTCTGCACTCTTGTAATCATCGTCCAACTAGCCATAGCTTTGTCAATGATTCCTATGCATTTAACCTGCCAAACTGTCTTATTCAAAAGAGACATACATTCACTCTGTGACATGCACAATTTTCAATGTACCTTTGTTTTGTTTTTCAATAAAAAATGAATGATTTTTTTCATTAATCTTTTGTGTCCATCTGCAAATTTGTGTGCACGCTTGGCTGTGAGTGTGTGTCATTTGGAATTTCCCCATTGTGG